CTTCCTAACCACCAACCAAAGATCCCTTAATATTCATGTTCAAGTAATCACCCAAATTAGATAACACCCCAAAAGGTAATAAGAAATCCAAGTCTTGGAAATCTTGTAACTTGGGCGATCTTGGTCGGAATAAGGCGATCTTGGTATCGTTGGAAAGCTCTAGATTTCTCCTGCATGATCAAGCATTTAAACTTGGATATAAACACAGAGATGACAATATCCAACAGCCATGCACAATGAAATATGCTCATGCAAACAATGCATGCATGAATAGCACGAGCACTCGGCAGGACGTTAGGATGACATGCACTCAAAATGACGTGCATCCAACAGTTGCTGGCGCCCGTGTTGGCTGCGCCCTCAGAGGATGGCGTTGCGGCTGTGGGACAGCTTGACGAGGCTGTCCGGGGCTTGAGGCGACACTTGCGCACAGGTTCTGGAGCCGCCGCGATCAGCGCAAGCACCTTTGTGGTCCGGGAGCTGTGGCGGACGTTGACAAGCGTTCTTCACGCCCTTGGAGCTCACTGCATGTAGACGCGGGCTCCGCTTGCCTCATTTTTGCTTTAGATTGTGTAGCCGGTAGTTGGTGTTGCCATGCGTGTAATGGCTCTGCTTATAGTTGATACGGTGTTATTCCTTGCTGCCCCAAGCGCGTGGCCGACGGCCCCTTAAATAGCTAGGCAACCGAGGGCAGAGGCTAAGGGCAGAGGCCAGAGGCTATCCCTCTCACTCTCTCTCTCTCTCTCTCTCTCTCTCTCTCTCTCTCTCTCTCTCGAATGAGAGGAAAATTTCAGCCGCCAACTGAATAATGAGGAAAGGAGGCTGGGAAGGCCCCTTAAATAGCTAGGCAACCGAGGGCAGAGGCTAAGGGTAGAGGGCAGGGGCTATCTATCTCTCTCTCTCTCTCTCTCTCTCTCTCTCTCTCTCTCTCTCTCTTTCTTTCTCTTTCTCTCTCTCTCTCCTGCTCAGTTTGGAACGAAAAAGGAACCACCAAATGAATAATGAGCTGCTAGGCAAGGCACCAGGGCCTTTATACTTGGCTATGGAGGCTAGAGGAGGCTAAGGACTAGATGGTTGCCTCTCTCCCTTTCTCTCTCTCAAGCAGTCATGTATTGGTGGTGTATCTTAAGTTACAGGCATGGCAGGGGTTGGTAGCTAGTCTATTTGTCTAGGCATGGAAGCAACCACAAACCAAGGCTAACAAAACAAGCAGACTGACAAACGAACAAAACAAGCTGAGCAAGCAGAGCAAGCATGCCGTGTGTGTGTGCCCCCTGGTCATCCAGTACTCAACCAAGCCGCCAGCAGCAGCAACACCATCCTCTCCTGCCTCCCATTCCCTCTCCCTGTCCCATGGCACACCTCTGCAGTTGCTCACCATCATCCAGTCCCTACCCTTCTTACCCTCCAGCCCCTCTAAGCCGCTCAAGCAGGATCCTCCCGCTCCTCATACTCATCCTCTGTCATCTGCCAGAGGTCTCCCAGCCGTGGGGCTCACGGGTCCCCCGCCGCCTGTGGGAAGGCCGCCTCTGCCGCACGGTTTGATTTGGAGAGGAGTGAGATGGCCTGGCTCCGCTGCAGCATGACCAACCACCTCTGTCGGTAGTGAGCGGTGAGCCTGGCGGCTGTTGTAGTGAGGCGTCCCTGTCTGAATTTCTTTTTAGCCGCATGGGTGCCTAGCATGCGGAGGAACTGGACTGTGTCTGCAGCCATAGCCCCATAAGTCTCGGCAGCTAGCCCAAAGAAGCCGGCGTAGCTCGGTCGCCCCTCATAGAGCCTATGTTTTCTCTGTGATGCCTCTTCCGCCGCCCACCCCGGCGGCCTACGAGCTCTGCTATCTCTATTCTGCAACACCGGGTCTGCCACGGTGACATCCATCACCCACGTCTCCCCTGATTCTTTGTCCCGGATGGCCAAGTCAGCCTGCTTCCTAATCACCGGCGGTGAAAAGGCCGAGGTCTCGTGAAATGTTTTGTAACCTGCCTCGTTAGCCATGCGCTGCGCCGCGTATACCAGGGCGTTGTGGGTCCTCACCGCATCCCCCCCATCTTGGCAACGTAGTAGATGGTTGGGAAGGCTTTTGTCCTCGATCGCCGAGTTATCACGTTTGCAAGGGCACACCTCAGCCACAGGGAGCTCCATGCTGAGGCGAAGGCCAAGGGCCAATGCAAACTGACCAGGGGAAATGGAGAGTTCACCTCTTGTCGGTACCACGTGTAGCCAGTCACCCACGCCTGTCCCTTTCAGACTTATCAGCCGCAGCGCGTGGCCTCTGTTGTTGCCAGGCCGGTCCACCACTGTGTCCCCCAGGAGCTCCACCGCGCGCTGTTGGTTGATGTGTTTGGAGAGGCACAGCTGGAGGCTGCCCGTGCCTTTACCCCCCGTCCTTTAGGCTCCTAGTGCCACCTGTGCCTGTGCTGGAAGTCCCTCCTCTAGGTGGGACAGAGCGTTGCTGTCTGGCGGTGGCGGGGACCATTCGTGGGAGAGCAGGGTCATGGCTCTGTGTAGCAGGCAGTCTGGGGGTAGGTTCTGGTGCTGTAGAAGGGTGTGTGCCGCTGTGACAGAGGCAATGTAGGCTGGCAGGGTCTCCGAGACGGGGTTGATGATACCCAAGCCCCCTAGTCGAATCGGAAGGGTAGCCTGACGCCACAGTAAGCTCTGCTCCAGCTCCGAAGTGGGGATGCGAAGCTTTGCGGCTGTAAGTGCCGAGCCAACCAGCGCTTCAATCCATTCCCTCCACTCTTCAGGGTTCAGTGTCATAGCCAGTGTCGTTCACAGCATGTAAGAGATGCGACGGAGATGCTGCGTGAGACAATCAGCATGGCGTGTTGCGGGTTGAGCTGAGAGACGAGGGGAAGGGGTGAGGCGGCCTCCTCCAATGCCGCCCGGACCTGGGTGGTGCAGAAGTCGTCGCTATCGATAGGACTGTCGGGTTCCCGTGTACCGCCCGGGTCCGCAGCTCCCCATTTTCTCCATCGTTTGTGGCCCCCCATGGTGAGGACTTTGAGATGTTGCATCGTAACCCATATTCAGCCTGGTCGCCTGCGATTTTGGTGAAGGCGCGGCACGCTTCTTCCCGCGGGCCGACGATGGTAATGTCGTCCGCACTGCTACCTCTGGTGACGTCGCCGAAACACTCAGGAGAGTTGGCTAGATCGCCGCCGCGAACAAGAGAGGGCCCAAGGGATCTCCCTGTCTGACGCCCCTTGAGCTTTGGATGGAATCGATGCCCAGGCGAGCGTCGGCGAAGGGCGATGGTCCATCGTAGAGATTGCGGACAAGGGGGAGCAGTTGGCTGAGGTTGGACCACTGCAGCGAGCCTAGGAAAGCACGTCATTCGACGCTGTTAAAAGCATTTTCAACGTCCAACTGGAGGGCGATGCGGGTCTTGTCTTCTCGGACGGCATGGATGATGGGTCTTGTCTTCTCGGACGGCATGGATGATGCACTCCGCTCCTCCTGGAACCGCCACGCCAAACTGAACCGGTAAGAAAAAATATCGGATCTTAGGTTTAGAGTATGAAGCGCCGCCTTCGCCACTATGCGGAGCAGGGTTTCGCTGATCGCTATAGGCCGCACCCCTCCATTTGGCTTCTCTAGAGCGATTAGACGTGAAGGCAGGAGAAGTTTCCTCACGTGGGAGGCCTGGAAGGTGCTAAGCAGCCAAATTACTACCTTGGCGAAAAGCAGCAGTAGATCTTCGTTGGCTAGGGTGGGGTCTCAAAGGTGCTCGAAACAGGTGCCAGACGGCCCAGCTCCAACACCGTTTGGTCATTTGGCTAGGATTTGGTGAAGCGAGTCCAGCGAGATAGCCAGTTCGGAGTCTGTGATTCTTGTAACCCAAGCCGGTATCTAGCTTCCGCTGAAGGGTGTTTCGCTTGCAGAGCTTCGAGTGTAGCCAGAGTTCCTTCTGCCAGGGGACTTGTTCGTAGCGCCACCACCACCTTCGAAATGTTTCCTTTTCTCACTAGCCCTTCAGCTCGTGCACAGACCCCTTCCTCGTCGGCCTAGTGTCGTTACCGGGGCTCCTGTGTCGGGGATGACCCAAGCTTCCTCGAACAGCTCAGCCCAAACGCCTCGCTGGAATTTGTGTAGCTATGCTTCAATTGTTGCCCAGCAACTCCCCAAAACAGGTTTGTGTACTGGCCTAAGGGTGAGCCTCGGCAGGAACAGCAGCACCGTCCAACCACATGGGCAACTCGAATTTTTGTCCAGGTGTATGAGTGTTGCCAGCATGCACAGACAATATCTGTCCAGCAGCTCTGGTGGCAGCCGGCGGACGAGGAATGGCTGGTCACCCCGCTGAAGCACGTCAACGCTCCATTCCCCTGCCGTGTACCGGATGGCATCGTCGCCAGCCAGGTCGGCCGGTGAAGGCACATCGGTGTCCTCCGTGGCCGTCTCTCCTAGCTCCACTCGATTACTTTGGGCACCCCCTGCCACGTCCCTTGCTCGGGGTTCTGGGTTGCGCCTCCTTGGTGTAGTCTCATCCTCCAGGGAGATATCTTCCGAGACCTCCTCCTCCCCGGCCATAAACTCTGGGTCAGCCCCGGAGTTGTCTGAAGCCTCTCGCTCCTCATTCGTCTACAGGAGCACTCTCCCAGGCCTGGTGTAACGTTCTCGCCAGGGGCCAGTCCTAATAGGGATCTCAGATCTGGGTGCTTGGATGCGCCCTCCCCTCCGCCTCTCAGCCCCCCGCGCAAAGCCCCACGCTGCCCCCGTCCAGCCACGCCCGTCGTTTCCGCCGCGCCGTTGCCACCGCGACACGCCGGCATCCATGGTGTACGGCCGCCTCGTGGCGGTCCCGAGGTTATTGCTCCTAGTCTTGCCGAGCATCTGGTGCCTACAGCCGCCGCTGCCGCCGCTACGCCTCTGCGTGTCCCCATTGCGGTGTTAAGCGCTTCCGTGATTGCCGCTATCCCTGGTGCTGTGTTGACAGCAGGTGCATCACAGGGGCGTCTTGATGCGCGGGCTTCAGTTTCGACCTCCTCGCACACCTCTCAGTGGCTCACCGATGACGACCGATGCACTCGCTCTGATGGCGGTTGCCCTTGCAGAAGCCAGCCTAGGAGGGGTTCTGGGGAGCCAGGTCCCAGCACTACTCCAGGTCGTCTCGGCGCTGGCTGGGCCCGCAGCTCCCTCTTCGACGTCGCCCGGGCAGCGTCGGAGGCAACGCCGTTCACGGGTTCTGAACTATCACCCTCCGCTCGGCCGTGCTCCTGCGTGCTTGCGGCCGCTGCAGCAACAGGAGTTCTGGCGCACGCAGCAGCAGCCGTTGCACCCGCCTTCGCATCTTCCGCAGCCGCTGCCGCCTCCGTTGATACCCTCGGCGACCGTGGCGGTGCCATCTCCTCTGCCTGTGTCAGCCCCGCCATCGGTCCCAGACCCTCTGCAGGTGGCAGGGCAAATGCGGCCGTAGCAGAGGGTGAAGTTGACCCACCGCCAGTGGCAACGACAACATTGACAGCCCCGCCCACACCTCCTCGCCAGCCTCTGCAACCGCCGTTGCGGCCAGCACGGTCTCCGTCGCCCCCGCAGCCGCTGCTCCCACAGACATTGCACCAGCCACAGCGTCGCCAGCAGCCCCGGTCCCAACCGCAGTGGCAGCGTCAACCCTTGCCATCGGCTCGTGAGCCTCCTTTCCCGCGCCTTCCTCAGCCCCCGCGGCAGCAGCAGCCTCTGCCACAGATGTTTCAGGGAATTGATCCCAATTCCCCTGCCCCATTATCTCCAGCAGATTTAACACTGCCGATCTCCCCTTGGCACCACCGCGTCGAGCAGTGCGTTGGGCACATGGGGACTTGCCTGACATTGCTGGCCATGGTCCTAGACCAGCTGCACATTTATCAGTCGAGGCTGTCGCGTCCTGAAGATGTGACTCCGACAATGTCGCAGCAGAAGCAAGAGGAAGCTGCGGTAGTAGCGATGCAGATGCTGCGGATGCTGCCCTTGATCGGACTGGTGCCGGGTTCCCCTAGATCCGCGTTGGGGCCTGGCCCTGCTTCACTGAGGTGGCTTGCCCTTGCCGCCCTGCAGGCCCCATGTGACATCCTGCCAGCTGCAGCGCCCGTGCTACGCTGGATCGACGGGCGGGTTTCTTGGATTCTGGAAGAATAGCGGGCCCCATCCCTTTGCCAGCCTCTTTGGTTCTTGGCCTGGATTTGGGCTTCCCCATGGCCCTTACTCCTCGCCTGGGGTTCATGTTGTTGCTATAGGTCGCCCTAAAGCATGTTGTACCCCGTGTTGTATTTATATCTTGCCTTCCTTCTCCCCTTGCCACCCCTCATGCACGGCCGAAGTCCGCCGAAGGCGGCCGGCGCGATCCGCCATTTTCTAAGAGTAAAGGAACTCAACAGAACACAATTAGGGGGAATGAAGGACTCCTAGGGCTTATATACTAGCTAGAAAGTGCTCAGGGAGGCTAAGAGAGGCTGATATCAGAACATTATAGCTTATACATTTGTGTAGGCTGAAGTGGGGTAGCTCATAAGAGGTACAACCCAATTAGGGTTAGTACTTGTACCCAACTGTTTGCTAGTTCATTCATTCTCGTTCGTTATTTTCACATGGAATCAGAGCAGGTTCCTTGGGCCCACCACCTGCTACGCTGCTAATACCCCCCTAGGCCCGTCGCCCCTAGCCTACGCAGCCCGTCGACCCCTATCCCGCGACCCGAAGACCCTAACCTACGCACGCCCGGCCCGTCGCTCCTAGCCTACGCGGCCCGTCGATCCCTAGCCCGCGGCCCGTCAACCCCAACGCCCGGCTCCGTCCCTAGCCCGCGCCCGGCCCTGTTCCTAGCCCGCGCCTGGCCCCGTCCCTAGCCTGCGCCCGGCCCTGTTGGCCCTCAGCCCCGCGCCCGGCCTCGTACCTAGCCCGCGCCCGGCCCCGTCCCTAGCCCGCGCCCGGCCCCGTACCTAGCCCGCGCCCGGCGCCGTCCCTAGCCCGCGGCCCGTTGACCCCAGCGCCCGGCCTCGTCCCTAGCCCGCGCCCGGCCCCGTTCCTAGCCCGCGCCCGGCCCCGTCCCTAGCCCGCGCCCGGCCCCGTCGGCCCTTAGCCTCGCGCCCGGCCTCGTACCTAGTCCGCGCCTGGCCCCGTACCTAGCCCGCGCCTGGCCTAGTACCTAGCCCACGCTCGGCCCCGTACCTAGCTCCGCGCCCGGCCTGGTCCGCGCCCAGCGCCCGGCCCCATCCCTAGCCCCGCGCCCGGCCCCGTACATAGCCCGCGCCCAGCCCAGTACCTAGCCCGGCCCGGCCCCGTACCTAGCCCCGCGCCCGGCCCCGTACCTAGCCCGCACCCAGCCCCATACCTAGCCCGCGCCCGGCTCCGTACCTAGCCCGCGCCCGGCTCCGTACCTAGCCCCGCGCCCGGCCCTGTTCCGCGCCCAGTGCCCGGCCCCGTCCCTAGCCCACGCCCGGCCCCGTACCTAGCCCGCGCCCGGGCCCGTACCTAGCCCGCGCCCGGCCTCGTCCATAGCCCGTGCCCGGCCCCGTACCTAGCCTCGCGCCCGGCCCCGTCCCTAGCCCAGCGCCCGGCCCCGTACCTAACCCGCGCCCGGCCCTGTACCTAGCCCGCGCCCCGCCCCGTCCCTAGCCAGCGCCCGGCCCCGTCGGCCCCTTGCCCAACTGTCACTGCTGCTACTGCTACAGCTGCTCCTGCTGCTGCTACTGCTGCTACTGCTATCCTGCGTGCTGCACAGCTATGGCTTCGCTTCGGGTTCTCGCGTTTGATCATGAGGGCAGACCGGTTCAGTTTGACACGTGGCTAGACGACCTGCAGCTGTACCTACTGAGCGATTCTAAGGACAGTGTCTCGCTGTTTGACCTAGCGTCAGGCGCTGCTACTGCCCCTCCCGCCACAGCTGACAGTTCGACTCGTTCACAGTGGCTTACTCGTGACGCTGCTGCCCGCTTAGCCATTCGCAACCACCTGCCATTAGCTGAATGCGCTCACTTCAGATAGCACAGGACAGCGCAGGCACTATACGATGCTGTAGTCGCTCGCTACTCCTCTTCTGCCACTGCTGCTCTAGGCCGCCTTCTTCTGCCCTACCTATTCCCCGAGCTGTCCGCCTTTACCACAGTCGAGGACCTTGTTTCCCACCTTCGCGCTAGTGACGCTCGCTACCGCGCTGCCGTTCCTGCTAAGTTCCTTGACAGGAACCCGCCCCCAATGTACATCACTCTCTACTTTATAGTCACCCGCCTCCCTGACTCTCTTCGCTCTGTCAGGGACCACTTCCTCTCTCTTGACCCCACCTTCCTCACTGTTGACCTCCTCGAGCAGCATCTCCTCGCAGATGAGACTAGTGCAGTTGCTGTAGGTGCTGCTCATGGCACTCCGCGCCCGCCCTTCTTTGAGGGGTGCTCCCCCTCCCCCCTTGCCCCATCCTACGCCTCTTCTGCTGCTGCAGACGTCTCTGTTACTGAGGACGTCGGGGCTACTTCTGCTAGTGCAAAGCGCCGCAGCAGCAAGGGCAAGGGTGGCAAGGGTGGTGGAGGTGGCGGCGGTGGTGGTGGAGGTGGCAGCGGGAGTAGTGGTGGGGGCAGCAGTGGAGGTGGTGGCGGCGGTGGGACTGCTGGAGGGAGTGGGGGCTCTGGTGGCGGTGGTGGAGGCAGCGGTGGGAGTGGCGGCAGTGGCGGCAGTGGGACTGGTGGAGGTGGGACTGGCGCTCGGCGTGGAGGTTCTGGAGGTGGCCAGCGTCAGCAGCAGCAGCGTCTGAGCGAGACCCCGTCGCCCCAGCAGCTTCGTGAGTGGTTTATGCGTGGGGCGTCTGGGGGTAGTTGCCCGTATGTCATCCGCACGGGTGATCGTGCTGGTCAGACTTGCGGGCGGACCCACACTCAGCACCGCTACTTCTTCCGTCTCGACGACGCTTGGCGTGCTGAGTTTGGTGACGACGTCGAGCTCCCTCGTTGGGCAGATCTGCTTAAGTCTAGGATTGCTATCTTTGACTTAGACTTTGATGCTATTCTTTCTGCTATGTATGCTTTGTCTGCTAGTGCTGAGGGTGACTGTTACCGGTGTGTGTCGCCTGACCCAGGTATAGCCGCTGCTGCTCTAGGTGCTAGTGAGTCTGGTACTCTACCTGTTACTGCGACTGCTCAGGCCTTGCACACTTTCACGTTGGACTCATGCGCCTCGTGCTGTTTCTTTCGTGACAGCACCACATTCCCTCCTCTCCCTGCACCTGTCCCGGTCAGACTGGCTGACCCCTGCGGGGGACCGGTAATGGCCCGTTCCTCCACTGTCCTCCCGTGTCCGGCGGATTGGTCCGGTTCACTATCAGGCCTTCACCTCCCGTCGTTCTCTACGAACTTGGTGAGTACCACTGCCCTCCAGGATGCGATGGTCACTACCACCATTCCTGGGGGTCAGCGTGTGGCGATCTGCACGTGCACACGGACGGGGCGTCACCTGGCCACGTTCACTCGTCGGTCAGGTTCGAGTCTGTACACACTCGCTACCGAGCCTTCTCACGTAGCTGCGTCAGCTCGGGTGTCCGCGTCAGGTAAGGTAGCTGCCTCTTGCTCGTGTCGCCTCCTGTCACACCAGACTCTTCTGTTGCACCGCCGCCTGGGTCACCCCTCCCTGCCACGCCTTCGTGGCATGCACTCTCGTTATCTTGTCTCTGGTCTACCCAGGTCTGTGCCTCCCCTGCCGCCCTCGCCCGCCCCGCCCTGCCTCCCTTGCGTCGAGGGGCGGCAGCGCGCCGCTCCTCACTCCTCCTCGTTTCCCCCGACGACTGCTCCCCTGCAGACTCTCCACATGGACGTGTGGGGCCCAGCCCGCGTGAGTGGTCAAAGCCGCGAGCGCTACTTTCTGCTGGTAGTTGACGACTACACGCGGTACACCACGGTCTTCCCCTTGCGCAGCAAGGGTGAGGTCGTTGATGTCTTGATCCCTTGGATCCGCACTGTCCGTCTCCAGCTCCGCGATCGGTTTGGCCAGGACCTTCCTGTCCTGCATCTGCACTCCGACAGAGGTGGTGAGTTCTCCTCCAACCTCTTGCGGGACTTTTGTCGTGGGGAGGGCATTCTCCAGTCGTTCACGCTTCCGGACTCTCCTCAGCAAAATGGGATTGCTGAGCGCCGCATTGGCTTAGTCATGGAGGTCGCTCATACCTCCATGATCCATGCGGCTGCTCCCCATTTTCTGTGGCCGTTTGCGGTCCAGTACGCTGCGCATCAGCTCAACCTCTGGCCCCGTGTCTCCTTGCCGGAGACCTTGCCCACACTGCGTTGGACGGGGGAGGTTGGCGATGCGTCGATGTTCCGGGTCTGGGGATCTTGGGCCTTTGTTCGCGATACGTCCGCGGATAAGCTCTCCCCCCGTGCTATCCCCTGCGTCTTCCTTGGCTTTGTTCCTGACGCGCCTGGCTGGCAGTTTTACCACCCCACATCGCGTCGTGTCTTCCCTTCTCAGGACGTCACGTTTGACGAGCCGGTTCCCTTTTACCGTCTCTTCCCCTACCGCTCTGCTCCTCCTCCTCCGGTAGACCCCCTCCCGCCCCAGGGTCCTGCTCCCTCAGGTGTGTCTCAGGTAGACCCTCTCCCTGGTCATGCGCCTGTTCAGGTAGCTGTCGGCTCAGGTGCTGCTCGACGTGCTGCGTCTGGGGGTGCTGCGTCTGGGGGTGCGGAGCCTGGGGGTGTGGAGTCTGAGGGTGTTGAGACTGGGGGTGCTGAGCCTCGGGGTGTTGCGACTGGGGGTGGTGAGCCTGGAGGT